ATATTTCTAACCTTTTCTGTCTTACAAGTTAAGTTATTATACATTTTCTTTATACTTTAAAGAAGAAATAATTATTTTGCCATATTTATTCTGAATTCACAATTTTGTACATAAACTTTTATAAAATTGATGTGAGGACATCCTTTTTATACAATATTTTCCATGTACATTGTATAACTGAAACAAATATATCATTCAACTAATTTTAGAGATTGTGTAGACAGTTCTCATTGTACAAAGTGGTTCATCTGTACTCATAAAACTGTTCAGTGAGGCATTGAATCACCTACAGAGAGGAAGAAATAAACAGAATAAATTTAGACTTTCATAAATTGGTTAGCTAAATGAAAATTCCTTTATGGCATGTTAATACTAAATAACATTGTTCACAAGATTTCAAGTAAAACAACTTTAGGATAGATACCTTGTTTGTGTGAGACAGCCATTTCCTTATCATTTGTGTTGATGCGGGCAGAATAATTTTATACAGTCAGTCATTTATTTGGACATTTAAGTTGTCCAATTGTGATATGATATATTTTATTAATGTCCTTAGTATTCATGATTTTGATGACACATATAAGCTTTGTAAGTTCTGTTCCATTAGTTCTGTTGTCTGTTTTTTAGGATATCTAAAATGTATTGTTTTTTTTATTATAATTGATACTCATTCTACAAATATTCAATGGTTTGGTTATATTTTATTAAACAAAACAGCTATCTTTTAACCCATTATTGTAGTTCACTGTAGTTTTGCTTTATTAATCATGTTTACATATAGATGACTTCATAGGCACTTTATCACCAAGAAGTCAAACCATAGGCCTACATGTTTGCTTCACTACATGAAAATTCCATTTGGAAACCTTTTATTTATATGAAAATTACTATTCTTTTTATGGTATTTTATTGGTATCCCTATTGTTACTAAAAATGATAATAACAACAATAGAAAAGATATAAGATAATGAAAATCAAATGGGGTAAATAGATGTGTACAGGTAGACCTAAAAATTGACTCCTTGGTTATTAAGGGCTTGAGAGGCCATCTGTGGGTAAATATCACAGTGGACAAATGCATTTCCAGCATCAAAGGGTTTTTATGAAGATTGTTTGTTTTCTACCTTTGATTTTCCAAAGGTGTAAATATTTTCATGTTCTAGATTTTGTAAGAAAGTTTATTATTTTCAGGCAATTAGGTACTTTTTGCAGTGACCTCATGTGCATACATGTAAGAATTATTTGGATAATATACAATTATTTGCAATTTTGAGTTGTATCATTTATGGTACCCCAATCCCATGCTCGTTGATTTCAATTCTCCTGGTTTCCCTACACCAGGCTCTCCTTTGACCACGACTCAGAACACTGCTATTTCTACCTCTTCCTCAGTGCCAACCATCACATCAGTCCAGTCCAAATCATCCATCCAGGTCAATACTCAATCTCCAGGACACATTCCTCCTCTCCCAACTTCCTCTACTTCATCTCCTCCACCCCCATAAGTTTGTTCAACTACCACATCCTCCCTTATTACTACTCTGCAACCTTATTGTCCACCTCCGCAGTACTACCTCAGTCTTCACTACTCCCTCTTCCACACATCTCCGTCCTTCTACTACCCCCACCTCTACAGACCTTGTGAATATTCTGTTTAGCCCAGCCGATGAGGTGGGTTTTTCGTGATTCAGTCTATAGCCTCCATACTCTGTTAATACTCTCCTCTTTGAACAGTGCCTCGAAAAACTAGACAAAGTTTCCTTTCGAGCCACCCCGATCATCCCCGCCTTGTCACTGATAATCCGAATCTCAAGGTATAATTGATTTCACTGGCAAACTGCCCTATCTACAACAAGGATTGGTCAGATTGTGGAGAAAACCTACATGCCTGCCTTGTGGACTATGATGCAGTATCAGTACAATGCTACATCATTAGCCCTAGAGGTCGCACTAAGTCCTCCACCAAGATTACATTATAAGAGCAGATAGTGCCTCCCTTTCTGATCATGCCAATCTCCCCCACGATAATGCCAGAATTTCTGGCATCTGGGTCAAACACCGCTCAGCAGCCAGATGCCCTCCTATGTGCCCAACCTGGCCATAATTGATCAAACTGCTCTACACAAAAACGCATATATGCCAATGATCATTTTTGTCATTTTAAATCCAGACGCCCCAATCTCCGCTACGTTCCACTCCATCTCCCACCGTATCCTCTCCTACATCAACCTCTCCCTCTCCCATCAAATGTCTGTCCCCTCTTCTCCCCCTCATAAGAAAACCTTTGTTTCTCAGACCTCCCCAACCAACTGTACTTCAGAAATTCTTGAAGACATTCAAAGCTATCTAATCATGACCCAAGATGACATACCTACACCGCATCCATTGTCTAATCTCTCTTCTCCCATTCCCTCTACACTCAAAAGTAACTCCCAGCACCCATCCTCCTCCTACTCATGTTCCTCCTACACCCTTTCCTCCCACTCCCTCCCAATACATC